TCGTCTTAGACATCCTAGGCGTACCCGAATCCGTCGACCCTGAGCCGCTAAGCTTCGAAAGTTTGGGCGAAGGTATGAAACAGCACAATATGGGTAAGATTTACTCGGGTCTCTATGAGGTCATGGGCCACATCGTTCCTTTCCTGGTTGTTGTCAAGGTCGGTAAGCCCTCCGAGGTCGCTCGGCCAGGTAACAGAGGAAAGCGTGATTCCCAGATGGTGCTCATGCGGTTCCTCAACCGCGTCCATTACAACCTTCCCATGAGTCCTATGGAGCTGGAGATATATCACCAGATACGCAACATCATCGGTGTCAATCCCACATTTTATGAGTTTATTCTACAGGTCGATGCCGATACGGTTGTGGCCCCTGATGCTGCAACACGAATGGTGTCAACTCTGCTGGCCGATACCCGCATTCTGGGTATCTGTGGAGAAACTGCTCTTTCGAATGCCAAAACGTCAATGGTGACAATGATTCAAGTCTACGAATACTACATCTCTCACAACCTTGTCAAAGCCTTTGAGAGTCTTTTCGGATCCATTACTTGTTTGCCGGGTTGCTTCACCATGTATCGCATCCGCTCAGCCGAAAGCGGGAAGCCTCTGTTCGTGAGCAAAGAGATTGTTGAAGCCTATGCGGAAATCCGTGTCGACACTCTCCACATGAAAAATTTGCTGCACTTGGGTGAAGATCGTTATCTGACAACACTGCTTATCAAGCACCATCCCAAGTACAAGACGAAGTATATCTCGGCCGCTAAAGCTTTCACAATCGCCCCTGAGAGTTTCGCTGTGTTCTTGTCGCAACGTCGTCGGTGGATTAATTCTACGGTCCACAATCTAATTGAGCTGATACCACTGAATCAGCTTTGCGGTTTCTGTTGCTTCAGTATGCGCTTCATTGTGTTTGTGGATCTCATCAGTACAATCATTCAGCCTGTCACCGTTGCTTACATCGTTTACCTGATCTACTGGCTCATTCATGACACATCCACGATTCCATGGACGGCATTCGTGCTTCTGGCTGCCATCTACGGTCTGCAGGCACTCATTTTCATCTTCCGGCGTAAGTGGGACATGATTGGATGGATGTTCATTTACATCCTTGGTATCCCTATTTCGTCGCTGGCTCTGCCCCTGTACTCATTCTGGCATATGGACGATTTCTCCTGGGGTAATACACGTGTCATTACTGGAGAGAAGGGCCGCAAGGTCGTTATCTCTGATGAAGGAAAGTTTGACCCGTCGTCCATCCCTAAAAAGACGTGGGAGGAATATCAGGCCGAACTGTGGGAGGCTCAGACTTCGCGGGACGATCGTTCAGAGGTTTCTGGGTTCTCTTACGGCACCAAGTCCTACCACCCAATGCAATCTGAGTATGGATTCCCGGCTTCGAGACCAGTGTCTCAATTTAACCTTCCTCGTTACTCGTCTCGCATGTCTTTGGCACCTTCAGAGATGATGAGCCGGAACATGGAGATGGAGATGGAAGACTTGTCTCACTTGCCAGCCGATGATGTCCTCTTGTCGGAGATCCGCGAGATCCTGCGCACCGCAGACTTGATGACGGTGACCAAGAAGAGCATCAAGCTGGAACTTGAGAGACGTTTCGGCGTCAACCTTGACGCTAAACGACCCTACATCAACTCAGGTAAGGCTGCACAAAATCATCTATTAACCAGAATTTCACTGACATCATTTCCTCTACAGCCACCGAAGCCATTCTTGCCGGCAATCTGTAAAACGACCGTTTCTCGATTACCAAAATGGCATCTACCCGGATGCGCAATAGCCGATTAGACAGCTAGTCCTTCACTCTAGCTGACATGATCATAAAAAACCTCCATCTGTCCATGACATTGACGACGATTGCATCAACATCATCATTATATCGTTATCGTTATCTTTTTATCTGCAAACAATCTCCCTCCAAAACGCATGGTTAATCAATGAACGTCGTTGTCGTTCCTGTTACATTCTGTTTCATTAGCTGTACAAAACAGCTCTGGCGTGGCGCTGTACATTATCTTTATATTCTTGTTTTCATTTCTCTTGATTCTAATGTGTGTTATTGCCTGCATATGTCTGTTTGTCATTATGAGGCATATTGAGCGGTTGATTTGTTTCTTGCGAGGTAGACCATGTCGATTAGATAGTCATCGCTTTTTTTTTACAGCCAAGTACATATACAAAGAATCAATGTATAATGCACACAAAGCTACCAATCTTTCATTATCAAGTTCATGGCACTAAGACCGACAAATTCAACCTTAGTGGTTCAAATTCATTTGTAGGGAAACACTAAGCAAAACAAGTTGGTAGTAGTAACTGAACAAACATCATCCCATATACTATGTCCAGAATAAGTACTATGACAATCACAAGTTCAACATATAGAATAATATTTATATTGATATATAGTCCTTGTTTTGTATAAGAAATATAAATATAAAAAAGAACAAATAGACAATAACATGAAACTAAGTCTTCTAAATAACATTACCCCTACTATCAAATATTTCAATTAAGCTAAAGTAATGTATCCGCAGGGAGCAGCGCCCGAGAAAATTACAGAATATACCAGCTAGCCAATAAATAGCTCCCAAAGCATGTATGTCTTTTATGGGGGCGTCCCGGAGAGCCAGATTAAGTAATCGCCGTCTGGAAATAGCAGGGAATCTTTGACCTCAACAACACTATAGGGAGGTACAATGATTTCCGCAATTGCCCGCCCATAATCAACGGGTGGGCATTAATCCTTCAGCCATTCCACAAGTCCCTGTTGCATGTCAACTAACAACTAGCGAAGTTGTGTAGATCACGTGATCTGTATGCCTGTGCGGTGCCTCCCGCCGTCCGTCTCAATCCGTCCTCAACTTTGGTTCTATTCCATTCACTTCTGCTTTGAAGGGTCATGGAATATAGAAGCTGGTGTTTATAATGGCCGATAGCGCATATCCATACGACACTGGCCTAGTGCGCGAGCTTCTAAAGAATAAGCGCAAGTCCCGCGGCATCCGATCCTGTTTCCCCTGTCGACATCGCAAGGTCCGCTGCGACGGCCAGGTTCCTTGCTCCAGCTGTGTCAAACGCAGCCATCCTGAACTTTGTCGTGTGCCGACATCTTCTGAGACTGGGAACGAGGATTATCTTCCCTCCGCCTCTGCCGACGTTCCTCAGGGACCATCTCAGCACTATAGTTCAACGTGAGCCGCCACTCTAGAACTTCCTGCCCAAGCTGATACTCATTCCCCAGGAACCTCGAAAATGACACTTTGTCGACTAACCCAGGCGACGCAACAGCGGTCCTGATCTCCCGCTTGGAGGCCATTGAGGAACAAATCGCCTCGCTCAAAGCTGATCTTCTGGCTACGGCGGCGGCGACAACAACCACGCCTGCCTCGCAGCCCAGCCCGCGGACTGGAAGCGTTGCCCGACTACCTGGCATGCGTGTTCGACCTGCTAGCAAATCACCTGGCCGGTACGTTGTCGAAGATGCTACAGGTGCAACGATCTACCTCGGTCGACACGCGGACGCACCACTGGCGCTGGGTTGCCGCCAGACCACGATGTCGGCGATGGCGGGAGATCTTTCTCTGCAGGATGTCCTGATCAATCAATGCATGCCGCGAGCATACCCTTTTATAAACCTCTGGGGTGCAGAGGCCACCCTGAGCGATGTGTGCCAAACGCTGCCTGAGGATTCGGACGTGATCCGGTTGGTTGCCCCTTGTACTTGCTCTGGTGGATGAGGCGCAATGTGCTAATGGATATTGCAGCTACTGGCAGGCGTACCAGACCAAAGCGTACCCGTTTTACCCAGCGCTGGCGGCAATTGATGAGTTTGCACAGGCGTTGTTCGCTTTCTTGGACCAGCGGATGCTGGCACACGAGGCGATGACGCCGCCGGAGGAGCCGAGCTCTTCTTGGATGGCGCTGCTGTTTGCAGTTCTTGCTTGTGGGGTCCAGTTCTCGGATGATCCCATCCAGGAGCGCGATTTGCGGTCCAAAGTGCTTGGTAGGTTGACTTTGTGGTGAGAGGATTGTATTCGAGTCAAGGCGCTGACTGTGGGCAGTTTGCTCGTCATTTCAATGTCTGCGTATGTCCAACTTCTTTTACCAGACTAATACAGACCAAATTCAGGCCATGGCCTTGATTGGGCACTGTCTGCGAAACAATCTGGATACCAACAGCGCGTGGATCCTCATGGGTAAGAGAAGGCACCATTACTTCTATTCTCTGCGGCCTTTGTATTGATTGACGCAGGCGCGACTATACGACTAGCGCAAAGTATCGGGCTTCATGAAGCGTCTCCATCTTTGCCGGAGGCAGAGCAGTTTGAGCGAAGCAGATTATGGTAGACTTCCCAGAGCCCTTGTACATTGCATTGTCTGAATGACTACTAGGTGGATGCTCATCTGGCAAGACACGTTCCTCTCTTTCACATACGATCGTCCTTTGGGAACAATAGCGATGAACTGTTCAATCCCATACAAACATGACACGGATGGTCTAAGCTTCCAGGAGTGTGTCTTCGCTATTTGCCATCAGATCATCGAAGAAGCGCGCCAAGAAACCACAGATGGCCCGCAGGACCCCTTAGAGAGCATGCGCGAATCCAAACGCCAGCTCGATGGCATCCGCGATGCCGCCGCCCCTTTCCTTGTCGACAAGCGTCGATGCGTCTCGCTGCAGGACCATCTCGAGCGACTGGCGCTTGATATTCATCTCGGGTATGTGACCTGCCGAATTAACCGTGTATACCTGGATGGCCATACTGGCGCGCCCTTTCCAACCGCCGTAGCCGTGGACTGCGTGCAGCGCGCGATGCAAGCTATTGAGAGCTTTCTCGATCTCCACCGATACTCAGCCAGCGTGTGCCGCTCCTGGGCCTTTGTTCACAACGCGGTAAGCTGCGCCATCACGCTCAAAAGCCTCAATCATGTGCCAGTCGATGAGCGGCGCAAGTCGGATCTCCTTGTGCAGCGACTGATAGCTGTGCTCGAAAAGGAGGAGAAAGAATCCGAGTGGTGCGACGACGACACCAATGTGCGCTACTTCGGGCCGTACTCCCGGGCTCTTAAAGCCCTGCGCGAGATTTGCCACAGTGCCGGCTGAATACTTGCTAATATTCACAACACGTCTATACAACACGTCTAATTAAGACTACAAAGTACTTTGTCTATCAACTTATATACACAATGGTCTCAATCGTCAATCACACGCGGCGCTTAGCCCTCACATAAAAGTTCAAAGGCCGAATGAGCTGGAACTCTGGGTCATAATCGATGGCCTCTTGACCGTCACGAACGAACTCGTACCTACTCACCAGCTCGGCCAGCAGGATCTTTACCTCCAACAAAGCAAAGTTGAAGCCGATGCAGCCGCGCGGCCCCGTTGCGAACGGTACATAGGCGCAGCGGTGGCGGTTCTTAACCTCGTCCGTGTCCCAGCGGTCCGGGTCGAAGCGGAAGGGATCACGCCAGACCTTGGGGTTGGTGTGGATGGCATATAGGGCAGGCACAATGACGCTATCGGGAGGAAGGCGATAGCCGCCGGGGAGGACGACGTCGGTCTTTGTTGTGCGGCCCGGCTGGAAGGAGGCATTGTGTAGTCGCTGCGTCTCCTTGACGAACCGGTCCATGTACGGCAGGCTGTGTGCCAGGTCCGGCGTCCAGGTCGTCTGATTTCGCTCGCCAGCAGGGCCTACGATACCGTGTTCTACCAGCTCCGCGTACAGCCGGTCCTGCGTACCCTCGTACGTGACGAGGCAGTAGATCAGCCATGACAGCAGCGCCGATGTGGTCGTGAACCCAGCCCCTGTCACAATAAGCATGTTGGCCAGAATCAGGGATGGCGGGAAGTGCGCTCCTGTGTCGTCGACTGCGTGCAACAGGTAGTCAACGACACAGGTAGCAGACAACGCGGCGTCGGCCATGGGCGCGTCGGTGCTGCACGACTCGGCCGTCACCGTGTCGACCTGCTCCTGCAGCAGCGAGTAGATGGTGTGCTGGACGTGGCGCAGACGAGCCGGGTCGCCGAAGGGTAGGTGGCGGTACCATTCACCGCGGGCTGTGATTTTCTTGTTGAGCGAGAGCAGACTAGCAATGTTGGTGACGATGGGGTGCAGGGGGCTGTCGACGGCGTTGAAGTGGCCGAAATCCTTGCCAAGAGAGAAGCGGCCAATAGTCTGCGATGCCAGTTTTATCATGTACTGGTATACGTTCCAGGACTCATCACGGGCGTCCAGCTCGTCGAACACGGGCAATGACTTGCGTGCGCACTCCTGCATCAGCCCCGTGTAGTGCCGCACTGCTTTGGGCCCCATAGCTGGCGGTAGGTACTTGTGCGCCAGCCGCCAATTCTCCGTCTCCGTGTCACCGATAAAGATGGCTGTGTTGTCTTTGACGCCCCAGAGTGGGTGATCGGAATTGATCTTCTTGGTCATGTACGCTGACTCGGCGAAACACACTGCTGCCACCTGCGGATCGTCCGTCAGGTAAATCGTCTTGCCCATATTGGTAGTCTTGATGACAGGGCCATATTTGCGGAACAGCCGGTAATGGTTGCCAAGGTGGTCCGGAAAAATCTCATAGAAGCTGCCAACGAGCGGCAGGCCTGGCGGGCCCTGTGGCGTCTGCACGGCGTTACCGTCGATGCGCAGGCCTACGGGAGAAGTGGACGTCGCGGCCGCGAGCACCTCGGACACCGTTGTCAAGGTATCATTAGAGGAGGTGTGGAACGAAATTCCGGTAGGCTGAACGACATGAAATACACCCCCGACTGCGCGTTGGAGGTCCTCGAACTTCCAGAGGGCGTCGACTTCGAGACACTGCGCTGTGGCGACGACTTCGCCTATGAGGTAGAAATGACACTGCATGTTGTAAGGGAAGTATGGACTGCTGTAGGACAACAGACCGGGATTGCCTTTTGGCAAGGGTAACCTTTATATTCCATTAAAGACGAGATTTGGCCTCTGCATCTCCAGTGTCTGCTTGGAGTCACGTAAGGGCCACTTCCTTGGTGTTCGTACGGACTTCGCACGAACTTCGGCCGAGGGTCCAGTCTTATGTTTGCACGGGTAACCGGAAGCATCACGCTCAGGGTGTGAATGATATTTATAAAGTGTGCCCTGTGTCTGCACGAAATAAACCAGCCTACAGCACACAATTTGCCATGGCGACATTCACCCTGGAGCAAGTGCAAAAGCACAACACGGCCGACGACCTCTGGATCGTCCTCCACAACAAGGGTTAGTCACTTTACTCTTTTGCCTCGCAGGATATGGAAGTTGACCGTCAATGTAGTCTACAATGTTACCAATTATCTAGAAGATCATCCCGGTGGAAAGGAAGTTCTCATCGAAGTTGCTGGTACCAATGCCACCGAAGCTTTTGAAGAAATCGGCCACTCCGATGAGGCGCGCGAGCAGCTCGAGCCCTACTTTGTTGGCGACTTACCTTCAGAGGTACTATCTTAACCCCTATTCACACTACATACCCTGACTTGCCTAGGAACAAGCCGAGACTGTGGAGATCTACCGTCCGACCTTCGAACAAGTGTCACAGTCCGCCGTCGTCAACGTGAAGAAGCCCTCGCCATGGGGATTCCTTCGCACGGCAAGCAAACTCGGATTGAGCGGTCTCGTCGTCACAGCCATCGTGACAGTTTATAACCGAGGCATGACGCCCTCAGAAGCCCTCCAGGTTGTGCAGCACTCGGCGCTTTCCTTAATCCAACTCCCACGGGGCGCCGATGGCAATAACGCCAGCCAATTCTGGTTAGGTGCAGGCATCTCCAGCATCATCCAATTCTCCGCAACACTTGGCCTAGGTTTATGGGCGTCGACGAAGCTAGACGTACAGCAAGAGTTCACGCACTATGACTCTCACAGACCATCCAAGCCCGCGCATCTGATGCACCTTTCCAAGACAACCATCACCATCCCGAGACCAAAGCCTCTCGACCCGCGACAATGGCGACCCTTCACCATGACCCAGAAGACCGAGATCGCCCCGAATGTTTACCACATTATTTTCTCCCTGCCGAACCCCGACGACATTCTCGGCCTCCCAACAGGACAACACATCGCCCTACGTGCATCAATCAACGGCACCAGCGTAGCACGCTCATACACCCCCATATCGAACAACAAGGATCGCGGCCGCATCGAGCTCCTCGTAAAGGCCTACCCGCAGGGCGCAATGACGCAGCACCTCGCGCAGATGAAAATAGGCGATACCATCGAGATCCGCGGCCCCAAAGGCGCCATGCAGTACTCCCCACGGTATGCCAAACACATTGGCATGATTGCCGGCGGCACTGGCATCACCCCTATGTACCAGCTTATCCGCGCCATTTGCGAGGATCCGGCAGACACTGATACGCGCGTCTCACTTCTGTATGCTAATAATACCGAGGAGGATATTTTGCTTCGCGCAGAGCTGGAGGCTTTTGCTCGTGATCATTCAGATAGGTTTCAGGTGCACTATGTGCTGAGTAGGCCTGATGATAGCTGGACTGGGTACCGAGGGTTTGTGAGTGCTGAGCTTATTCAGAGGCATTTGCCTGTTGTTGGACCGGATAGTAAAATGCTGCTGTGTGGACCGCCGCCAATGATCGGGGCTATGAAGAAGGTGTTGCTGGAATTGGGATGGCCTATGCCTGGGGCGGTGGCGAAGGCTGGGGATCAGGTGTTTTTGTTCTGATAGATTAGGTGAACAACTTCAGTTTCACGTATAGAGTCCACTTACCAATAATCGAGCCAGCTTACCAATAGTCCAGCCGCCAAGTTGATAAACCCGCACGTAGTAGCAGTATGTCAGTGGCAAATCCCCCCCCTCTAGCATCATTGATTGCAAGCAACTCTGTATAATCCTTGCTAATATCCTCTAACTCTGACTACGATTTCCCCAGTACATTGAGAGCTACTCAAATACTGATCATTTCATCTCCTCCAGTAAATCATAGCAATAACATACTATGTTGAGACATTCACTGCAGCCAGGCAGCTGTCAGCTGTCAGCTGATCCTTCTCCTCTTCTTCCTGCGTGGTCTCCGACCACCACCTCTTCCAACAACAACAACCAACTACTCTCTTGAGATCAGATAGATCCAAATCCATATATCTTTGGCCCTCCGTCTTGACATAACCCTACTTCAATCCCAACATACATATCATACCAACGCACCTATTAGTAGTATACACCAGCAGCCTTCATCATTTGTAACCCAGCAAGCTCAAAGAGCAAACACCTTCATCATCATCATCATCATCATCACCATCCTACAACCAACGACCCACCAGCCCACTACTCCCCCAAAAATGGTCAAAACAGGATTGATTCATCATCCACAACCCGCCTAACCGTCTCCATCAAACATCCCAGAAATCCATCCCTAAAGACCACCCTGCTCGGAAACCGGCACAACAACAACAACAACACCACCAACCGAGAAGAATCTTCTCCGAACTTCCATTCTAGTAAGGAGGCTTAACTTGCCGATAACCGATTTTCTCCCCTTACTTCGGGTCCACTGTGCAGAAGAATGCCCATGTGGGGTCCAAGAATTCAGGGTTCGGTACTTGCTGGCTTCTATCAAACACTCTCTCCGAACTGTATCCGTTCCGTGTCCGAGGGTCTCCGAAGTCATTCCGTTGCGGGTTGGGTGGGTTGGGTTGGGTTTCTTCGGCTTCCCGGCATTGTGGTGGATAGGAATTGTATACGTGAAGTTTCGGGATTGAATTACGGGTTCGTGGTACTGGGTATTTATTGGTAGAGTGTATATATATATATATATATATATATATATTAAAACACATATATAAATATCTTCCTTTCATACGGATGGACGGTTTTTGTGCTGTGCTGTGTTGTGCTGTGCTGGGATTTCCTATCTGTGCTCTTATATTGTATCCATTTATCATATACCATTTTTTTTTTCTTTTTTTACTATACTTCATTTTCCAATCTACAGCATTCAAAATGTCTACAACTACCATTCCCCATCCTTCCAAAACTCGCCCTATTGTCGTCATAGGCGCCGGTATCCTGGGCCGCCGCATCGCCGCCGTCTTCTCATCTGCCGGGTATACCGTGCACATCAGCGATCCATCGTCCTCTGCTCTTGACTCTGCAAGAACTTACGTCTCGACGCACATCCACGAATTCACTACCCATACCCCTCATCCGTCTTCTCCTCCGGGCCAAATCTCAACCTTCACCTCTATCCCTGAAGCAGTCGCCACCGCCTGGCTAGTCATCGAAGCCGTTCCTGAGATCCTGCCCTTGAAGAAAACCCTCTTCGCAGATCTCCATGCCCACAGTCCAGCGGACTGCATCCTCGCGTCGAACAGCAGCAGTTACAAATCCCGCCTAATTGGCGGCCATCTGCCACTGTCACGACGGGTCCTTCTCCTCAACATGCACTTCACTATGCCACCGTCCATCCGTACCGTGGAACTAATGACCTGTGGGGAGACGGACGAGCGGGTATTCCCCATGCTCAGTGAGGTGTTGAGTGAGTGTGGAGTTATCCCGGTGACAGCGAGGAAGGAGTCCACGGGGTTCATCTTCAATCGTCTCTGGGCGGCGATTAAGCGTGAAATACTGTTGATTTTGGCGGAGGGGGTGAGTGAACCCAAAGAGATTGATCTGTTGTGGGAGGAGATGTTTGGTAGGAAGGAGAGTTTGCCGCCGTGTCGCTTGATGGATGCGGTTGGGCTGGATACGGTGGCTGATATCGAGGAGAATTATGTGCGGGAGAGGGGACTGGATGGACGGTCGACGGTGGATTGGGTGAGGGAGAAATTTGTGAGTGTTGGAAGGGTCGGGAAGAAGGCTGAGGGGTTGGGAGGATTGTATCCGCCTGATCTTACTGAAGACGTGAAGAACGGGAAGAAGGTGGTGGGAGAAGCGCCTCTGCTATATCTTCTTGATGTTGGGCTGGGAGCGAATACTTCTGATATCGAGAAGGTTTCTACCGCTGGGAGGATACTGAAGTTCCAGCCAGGTACCACTGGCATGCCCGTCACCATTATCTCAGGCCAGTCTCTCCCGGATGGGATCGACGTGTCCCAGACGACAGGACGCATCTTCTGGACGAACATGGGGCAGTCGACATCCACGCACGATGGATCTGTGCACTCGGCGACACTGGATGGTCAGGATATATGCACCTTACTTCCAGCTGGGGCGGTGCACACCCCCAAACAGCTTGTCGTTGATGATACAACGCAGCACGTGTATTTCTGCGATCGCGAAGGGATGAGCGTGCATCGGGTGCGGTTCGATGGGTCTGGCCATGAGGTGCTGGTGCGGACAGGAGCGCTTGATGATGCCACCCACCGCGGAGACATGACGCGGTGGTGTGTGGGAATTGCATTGGACCGGAAGAACGGACATGTGTATTGGACGCAGAAGGGCCCGAGTAAAGGTGGGAAGGGGCGGATATTCCGTGCTGGTTTGGAAGTGCCGGCTGGACAGACGGCTGATGGTCGGGAAGATGTCGAAATGGTGTTGGAGGGATTGCCGGAGCCGATTGATTTGGAGTTTGACGAGGAGGAGGGAATGTTATATTGGACCGATCGGGGAGAGCATCCGTGGGGGTGTTCGATGAATAGGGTTAAGGTTGGTGGTGAGGTGGCGGTGCAGGAGTCGAGGGAGGTTCTGGCAAGGCATTTTAATGAGCCTATTGGGTTGAAGGTGGATAGGAAGGATAAGAAGGTGTATGTTGCTGATTTGGGAGGGAGTATGTATTGTGTTGATTTGAAGGATGGGGAGAAGAAGGTGGTGTGGAGGGATGAGGGGTGTTATACTGGGGTTGCGTTGGTAAGTGAATAGGTCTGGGTTTTGTCTGTATTTAACCGCTTCATCTCAACCCAAAAGCAGTGCATGCGTCTTTAGTAGTTACATTCAAGTCCAAATATTTGCATAAATACAACAACCTAATCAAACGACGCCAGCGCCGCTTCCCCATCCCCATCAACATCAACATCAACACCCCCCTCTCCTCCCAAAGTCTCATCACTAATAGCAACCCCAATAGCCGAAGGAGATACAGCACCCGCACCAGCAGCAGCCTTCCTCCCCTCATGCTCCATGCCCAGGATCTGCCACGCGCGACCCATCATCCCATGACCTAACCCTTGAGGGAAATTCGCCCCGTAAGCCGAATTCCGTGGCATATGGCCACGCGCACGATCACGATCCTGCTCGCGAGCCAACCGGTCTTTCTTGGCGGCCGCGACGCGATCTTGTTCGCGCTCGTGGGAGATGATTTCGTCGCGCCATTCGGCCCAGCGGGAGAAGTTTTCGCGCTGGCGGAGGACTTGGTAGCGGAGTTTGGTTTTGGAGGGGCGCCAGCCTGTTCGGGTATTGGTGGAGTTGGAGGTGGTGAGGGTGGATTTGAGGTCGCAGATGTTGGAGTCTTTGGTGAGTTTGAGGAGGTGGGTGAAGACTTCTCTGCTTTCGTGGGCGGTTTGGTGGAGTTTTTCGGTAGTGGGGTTGGTGGTTGTGCTTGGGGCAGAGGTGAGGGGGACGTCGAGCCAGGAGTAGAGGTCTGCTGAGCGTTGGACGGAGAAGGGGTCGAGCATGTTGGCGCGTCGGTTTTCTTCGCGGAGGTAGCGGACGGCGGCTTGGAGGCTTTCAACTTCGGCGCGGAGGGCTTCGTTCTCGCGCATGGTGGCCAGGGAGACGCCGGCGTCGACGGCAATGCCTTCGGTTGTGGTGGCGCCGGTGGTGCCGGAGATGCGTTTGACTTTGTCGAGGCGGGATTTAATCTCGTCGCGCTCGGCTTCGAGGGCTTCGAGGTCTTTGCGTTGCTTTTCGACGGTGGAGGTGAGTTCGGTTTCTCGGGTGCGGATCTTCTCCAGCTCGGCTTCTAGGTCTTTCACCATTGATGCCTTTTTGCTGGCTTCGCGCATCCGGGACTCGACGAGCTCGACCTTGATGGCTTGCTCTTCGATGGCTTGGTCTTTGACGCCGAGGGCGGTGGATGCTTCGTGGATCTCGTTCTTCAGGCGACGGATCTCTTCGTCGGCGTCGGGGGAGATGGTTTTGTTGGACTTGAGCTCGGCGGATCGGACGGTCCATGGCGAGGGACGCTTCTCGAATTCGGTCGTGATGGATAGATCGGACGTGATGGAGTCGAGCTCCTCGAGGAGGCCGCCGAGGCTGCGGAGTCTGTTGCCGATGAGGAACATCGTGTCGCTGCTTTCGCTGCCGGTTTCAGATGGCTGAGCGTAGAGGGTGGAGATCTGAGACATGGTGTTCAATGCTTCTTCCAGGGATAGAGGCTGCGTGCGGCTTTCGTCGATGATGAGGAAGACGATGTTCTCTCCAATCTGGCGAGTCAGATCAGACAAGTCTTTGGCGGCCTCTTCAGCTTGTTTAAAAGGGCCGACAACGTCCTGCGAGAGAGCAAGAGACCTCGAGCGAAGATCTTCCAGGGAGCGGTTGATCTTTCCCATGGCAACCTTTAGACCTCGAGCTTGAGACACCAGGCCTTCCATCTTGTTGTATAGGAAGGTGTGCTCTTCGTCGCCGCCTTCTGGCACCACAAGCTTCGACTGGAACAACGACTTGAGTCGCGAGATTGCCGAGGCTGCGTGGTCGGTGTAGGCCTGGGCCAACATGGAGCGCATGCACAGCTCGTCGGCGAACGTTTCCAAGGAGCTGGGAAGGAGAGTCTCGGTGAGATGGGACAAAAGTGCAATAGACCGCTGCAGCTCAACGGCACACTTCTTCATGTTTACGTCGTTCTTCTTCAGAGCTTCTAACCAGAAGTTTAATGTGCGCTCAACCGGCTCCATCTCGAACAAGGCTCCTTTGATACTCTCAAACCCTTCGGAAGAACAGTTCGTGATGTAGTTCACAAACCGATCGCAGAGAGAAGCAATATACAAGAGCTTCTCCATGACCTCGTGAGCAATGAAAAGGTCTTCGAGGGGAGTAGATACAGACGCCTGTTCAGAAACCTTCTCACGGAAAGTGCTGGTCATCAAGGTTGCCTTGAAGCTCACGCGCTTGAAGCGCAGAAGCGCGAGAACGGCATTCCGCTCACTCTCATAGTATTCGGGAAGATACAGCTTGGTAATGGACAAATGCTGCGCCGCTTCCTCTGCTTCCATACGGTTGAGTTCAATGTCAATTGTCTTCGTCTGCGCCTTCGAAACCGAGGCCTGAAGCTTAAGATTGAGGTCCATCATGGCCCGGGAGCGCGTGGAGAGGTCAGTAGCCTCTGCTTCGGAGATTTGTTGGGATGCACGCATATCTTCCAGGTCTCCCTGTAAAGTAGAGACCAGCTCTCGGAAGCGGACAAGAGTGTATTCTAGATCCTCGATGACTTCGTCTTGCTGTGCGAGCCGGCGACTTTGCTCAGTGAAGAGACCATCCTTGTAGTCAATCTCCTCCTGCAGCTGTTTCTCCGTCTCGATGTGGTTGTATTCGAGTTCGTCGTTGATCTCTTTCAAAGCCTCCAGATCCTCAATGGCTGCTTTCAATTCGTTGATATCCTCCTGATAACGCATATTCTTGTCGGCAAGTTCCTCGATCATTTCTTCAGCTCCCAGGGCCGTCTCCAACTGCTGCTTCAGGTGTTCCACATTGTTTTCCGCTACGAGCAGCTTCTGTTTTGTTTTCTCGTATTTAGACTTGATGGCGGTATATTCCTCCAAATCCTGCTGAAGCTCCTTGACTTGGTCCCTGAGTTCCGCTTCTTGCTGCTGGGTCATATCACGGAGACGTAAAAGAGCCTCTCGAAGACGCTCATTCGTCTTCTCCATCTGCAACCATCCATGACTGGACTTTTCTTCCGGGCTCATGACCTGACCAAGTTCCTCATTTTCCTCGCGCAGAACCTCCGCTTCCAGTTCGAGCTCTTCAACCCTCAACCTGAGGGTCTCCACTTCGTGCTTGAAAGCATCTGCGGTCTCTTCCGCCATTTCGCGGTCCAGAGTGGCCATTTCCATAAGCGAATCATGTTCCGCCTGGAGTCGCTCGACTTCCTCGAGCCTCGCTTCCGAATCTTTCAGCTTCTTCCGTAGCTCGTTAATCTCAAGCTGCTGCGGCTGATACTTCGCTTGCAGCTTCTGGATGATGCCTTCGAACTTGTCTCGTTCCGACTGAAGTTGTTCCAGTGTCTTCAGCTTCTCGCGATCGTCGGCCCGTTTCTTTTCCATGACCCGGAGCTTGGTTTTCAGCTCATCCAGCTCCCTTGCTACAACATTCCCACTCAGCGACTGTCTATGTGATGGAGTCGGTTGGGGTCTTTGGCTCGTAGCTGTCCGCAAAGAACTTGGTGTAGGCTTCGGGGCTTTGGGCGCCAGATCCGCGTCATCTGCACCTTCCTCTTCGACATCATGAGAACTTGTCTCCAATTCCTCAGACTGAGGGCTGGCCACACTTTCAGCTTCTTCCGATGCTTTGTTTGAGCCCGTGGGCCGGAGCACGGGTCGCTTTGTCAATCCTGACGGTGCCGACGCTGTACCCTGGACACTGGGTCTGCCTGTCCTGCTCGCTGGTGCAGATATCGAAGGTCGTGATGCGCGAGTTGTCGCCGAAGGAGGAGCGGGCGGGCCCATAGACGTCTTGGAGCTGATGGATGTCCGGGTCTTTGGTGCCACCGCAGACGGCCGCGGTGTGCTGCTTGCAGACGATCTGTTCGAGAGGGGGGTAGAGGCGGGTTTCGTCGGTGACTTTGTAGGAGACTATCGTGCGACCAGCATTAGCTTCTTGATATTACTATTGGCGTGCTAGAGGGACGGTACGATACCTTTGTTGACAAGCGTTGAGCGGCTCCTCTCAGGGCCGAGGTCGGACTCGAAGCCCCGGCGCTATGTCTCTTTGCAGTCGCAGATGACAGAGAAGTCGGTCTCTTGAGTCCGGAGTTCCCTGGAGTGACACCACTTTGAGCGCGACTTCGGCTGGCGGGCGTAGTGGTGGCATTCCCCTTAGGAGCGGCCGGCTTAGTCGGTCGAGCGGGCTGTTCAACAATTGCAGCGATGGCAGTGGGCCGGACGAACATGCCAAATCCCGGTTCGCAGTCGAAGTATCGTTCTCCTTGAACTGAGCCATCGTTCTTGCCCGTGGGCTCGTCCAATTCCACGCCGATCCAGTCTCCCGCAGCGAATTGTGTCGAGCCAACAAACCGAACGGTGGCCTGCCGACCGTCGGTCAAAGTGACCACATGGCCCGGAGATAGGTCAGCCATATTGAAGCATTCAGGCCGATAGAAAGCCCCGGTGCAGGATTGTCCTGTCGTGGAAGAGGGAGGGGAATGGGATGTTGTTGTCTTGTTGATGGTGTCTGTTCGGGGAAGCTCCCCCGTTCGGAGCCTCAGGACGCGACTCGTGCACGGTTGTTTTTGCCTGAGGCAGAAAGGCATATAGTAGCCCTACATCTATCTTCACCTTGACTGATCTGCCTCTGCGACTACATTTGACTACACTATTCATGAATTTGCAGTTGTGCGCTATTGAAGTGTTCATATTCTCGTGAGTATCAATTACACAATATGTGCATTCTCGGGTTTTAGAGTATGTGCCTGTCCCCAAGATAAGAACCCGTCAAAGTCAGAATGATAATGTCGCTCATAGTCTTCGTGACATCTTGAAACACAAGAGGCCGTACACATCTATAGGATCTATCTATCGCATAAAGTGATTGAATCTATACTTCCTGCTTGGTCTTAAACAAGTTGGGGAAGCAGGTCCTAAGTTCCTCCAGGCTTCGAATCATATATTGCGAAGCCGGCACGTGGGGGAGGGGAATCCCGGGCTCAACGAGATGAGCCACGGCCCAACCCCGGGCGGCAGCATGAGTACAATTCAGACCAGAGTCGTCTGAGCATATTGGTCAGCACTTGATCTGGGCCTGTACAGTGAAGAAAGAAATTTGAAGGGCAACTCACCAACAAAATAGCACTCTGACGTGCTAGAGGCTCCCGCCTCCTTCTCCGCCCTCTCATACATGGCCTGGCTGGGTTTGCACACCAGCGGCAAATTGCCATAGTCACAGTATGTGATGCCCTCAAACATATCGTCCACCTGCAGCAACTTCACCACCCGTTTCGCATGGGTCACGTAGGCGTTCGTGAGAAGCCACATTCGCACTTTGCTGCGGTCAATGTCTTCGAGCAGCTGGCGCAGCTTGGGGTCCGGTTTGAGGATATCGTCGAGCGGCAGCGCATCGTCCACTTCGCGGTTAAATTCCAGGGGATCGATCTTGTGGTGGCGCGTAAGGCCTTCAATGGCGAGACCGTATTCCTTGTAGTACTTCATGTGGAGCATGTGTGCGTCATCGGCATTCAGGGACAGGTGCTTGATGAAGAATTGGTCTAGAAAGACACGATGATTGGGTCAGCGCATATATATAAGATAGAGTGCGGTCGCGGTGGCTCACTGATCAATTTCTGCATCTCATCGTGGATGTTGCACCCTTCACGGAGTAGTTGTGTCAGTATGTCCTGCGATCAATACCTCGGTTCGCGAAATTCCCACCTTTGGAGTAGAGCTGTGAACACACTCAGGTCAGTGACGAAGGGTATACTGGGAGATGAGAAACGCGTCAACATACGCAGTTGTCAATGTCAAAGAAGAAGACCGGACGAGGGTCCAGCGGCGCACTGGCCGGACTGTTGACGGTGGCCATTGTTCGTCGGGGGTATGAAGGTATACTGTTGCGATGCGGAGAAAAGGTACTCGGGCGGTGGCAGGAGAGATTGCAGCGGAGGAATTGAGAGGAGGGTTGGACGTGGTATGTTCTGGGAGCGAAAGGAATTCGCAAGAGGGAGCGCAGGGTTGAATGATTCATCGCAGACACATTAATGCCACCAGCGAAAGAAAAGCCAGAGAGGGGAAGGGGGGGCAATACGGCGCAACAGGAACCGCGAAACCGAGTGACTCCCTCCGGCGATGGCGGGAGCAGCCGGCGCGGCATTTCCACTCTACACTGCTGCTGCTGCTGCTGCTACTCTTTCCTTTTTGATTCCCCGACAAGGTTCTTTTGCAATAGTACTAGGCTCCGAGTCATCATTTCTTGCGTTTGCTTCACCGAACCCGCTGTCTGTCGGCTGACTTGGGTAGACGACCATATCTATTAGTACCAAGGAGATTTGATTTCCTCTCATTCGGGGATCAAACAGACTTGTACATCCAATCAAGCCATGTGTGAATGCGCTGGGAAGTGACTAAGAAGAAACTAGCGGTGCGCGCGGTGCCTTTGCATGCTGGCCGCCTCGACGAAGCTGGCCTCGCCTTTTCTCCTCTGCAAACCGCCCCCGTCCACGTACTTCCCGCACCTCATCATCCATCCACCGCCATCACCGTCCTTCCCTCCCATTTCCCTTCCCTTCCCTTCCCTTTCCTTCCCCCCATTCTTCCCTCGCTCACCCTCCCTCAGTCTCCATATTATCCACTCCTCACTCTTGGCCACCCATTCTAGTCTCCCTCAGCCAAGTCAAGTGAGGCAGTGAATTGGATTTTAAGTGCTACAGCCGAAAGAAAAGCTGATGCAGGAAACTGATTCGGTCTACTGGTGTCTGGTGTGACAAAACAGCTCTTCTCGGAGCAACTTAAGTTTTTTTCTGTCGGTCCTCCGGGTATTATTTCTTATTTTAGACCATGGCGACAGCCCAGATTTCGCCGGCCTCAGGTAGTAATATACCTACCAGGCTGCCTGCAAGTGAGGAGATGCAGGAGTATGAAAAGATTTTGAAAATAAGTGACGATATCTTTTCTGGAACTCACCCTAGATTGAAGGTTCCCCAGCAGTTCGTGCGCAAACCCGCCTCTCGAGGCCCCCCTGTCTCGACTCCCACCCAGGTAAAATCGGGTGACCAACTCAAGTCTCCCCCGAAACCCCAGCTTCCTCCGTCCGCTCCGTTGGCTCAGAGGCCGGCGACATCGCAGCCTCCCAGTGCCGGAAGTGCTCCTTCCGGCGCGACCGGGCCGTCGCGTTTAGTCCCTAAGCCTGCCTCGGAGATTGATCCCATATTTTTGACCAAGTCAGATGATCTAGTCAGAGCTGAGATACAACTACAGCGGCAGCGGGTGGAGAGAGTGCTGCGGGAACAGTTGGAACAGAAAAGGCAGGATTCGAGGCAGAAGGCCTCTCTACAAGACACAAAACCAGACTTTGACGTTTCTGATGTGCTAGTGAAGGCCTTTGAGATGGTCAAACCGTCTCCGTCCGTGGATGCACCTGGTGCTGGAGAGCCCGGTGACTCTTTTGACGAGAACTCGTTCTACTCCAGTAGAGCCCCTGACTCTCCCCAGCAGGGCGAGCCGCAGAGGCAGTCTCCAGCTCCCCAGTCTAATTCTGAGGAGCTGGCTACTGAAGCTCCAGCAGAGAACTATTCAGATGAGTTGCAACGGCTTGAAGCCCTCAACAGAACTGGATCGGATCAGGATGTGCAAGATACTTACCCCGTGGCAGACCACCTAGTACCCTATGATCAGAGGCAGCCGCACCATACTGAGGTGGACGTCGCCGTCCGCAAGTATCCCGAACCCGACCAGCCGACCGACGCGTATGAAGAACCAGAGTATTCACCACCGGCCCCCGGGGTAGCGCCTATGGAGAGGGATGATAACTATGGGTCTCAACGGGGTTATGCGAACGGGACAAAACGTCGAGCACCGGAAGATCGAGTGCCTGAGCGGCATCGTCGGTCTCGGAGATCACTATCGCGGGGAGGCGATGTAAGAATTGTGCGAAACCACATAACCTCGCCTGCTGCTCCGCAGCCGTCCAGAGTCTCCCCCTTAGCCATCGCCAAGGTGCCCTCGGTCCATCAACTAAAAGACACGCGTCCGGATTACGGTCCAGAGCGCCATGCTAGCCCTGAGGTTCCTGCTCAGCCATTGACGTCTAGGAAACGTAGGAGGTTGCAGGATGACAGAGGTCGTCCATCGTATACTAGAGCGCCAGCAGCGGCCCATGTCGAAGAAGCATTCATCAAGGAAGAGCCTGTCTCACCTCCGCCATTCACAGACACTCAACACGCTTACCGGACCCGCCAACCACAGGAAAGACCAGTGTACATTGACATTGCTTCCCCGCGCTACACCCCAGTATTAGAACGGAGAGACCCACAGATCAGGGAACCGGCATATGAGTACGAGGTGTACGAGCCCCATGCTGAGCCGGGGATTCAGCGCACCCTTTCAAGACTTAGTGCTCGCCGGCCAGTCCGGGACGATCAAGACTTGCGCAGAGTTGCCAGCTTGCATCAGGCTCGGCAACCCGAATATGCTCGTGAATATGTTGACCAAGCCAGTCCCCAGTCGGTGCGGGCCGGGTCTTATGCTATTGTTGAGCGTCCACCTGAGAGAATTCGATACTATGATGAGCTGGCGCAGCCACCTCCTACGAGACGCTATATTCCGGCTGGCGAATCGCCCAACTCACCACGATATCATGATGCTTACTATGAAGAGGAACCTGCAGCACGGGTGATGGCACCTCCACCGCGTCGGATAGTGGTTGACGAGCATGGCAATCAGTACTATGAGACGTTGCCTGCTCCAAGACTGCAGGCTATGCCTCCGCCCTCTACTCGACTACCCAGAAGTGACGTCTACGACGACCGTACACCACTGCGCCCGGCAAGCGTGCGAGCGGCGTCTGTTCTTGAGGATCCGTATGGCGGTCGGCGATACGTGCAGGACATGCCACCTCCACCGACCGCCTACCGACGAGTCACCGACTACGCTCGTCCGGCTCCAAGCGAACGGCGACCGTACACTGGGGCTTTGGATGAACGAGAGCCGTTCCCCCGTAGTGCCAGCGTGCAAGTGACGGAATACGGGACTCGCCGTCCCCCTTACCTAGACGAAGCCGAGCTTCCACGGGAGCGGATCGTCCGGATGCCGAGTGTGCGCCCGCCCACTAGCCGGTACGAGGAGCCGCCGATGATTCAGCGGGTGGAGAGCGTGCGCCCGAGCGGTCGAGATGTGAGCGTCTACATGGATGATGCTGCCCGGCAGCCGAGAGAATACATTGAGCGGCCTGTATACGTTGCTACGCGCCCTGTGCGGGACGAGCGCTACTACGAGGGCAGTAACCCAGCGGAGCGGGTCATCCTCGACGGGGGAAGGGACGTAGTCCACCGAGTACCTCAACGCTACTGAGGAACGACGTATCATACTATAATGACCACGTGGACATGGAGATGATGGCCCACAATGATTGATTGATTGATTGTATTTGGTGCATTCGCCTCGGATATATCAATTGCCTTTGATTGATTTGAATTCTGTTGTATCTAAAAAGCGTTTTGTATTTGGATGTGTCGAGCATCCTGTACCATAGTATAGCAGCACATCGCTATGAGGGGTGAGAGAGTGAGGGGGGAGAAGAATAAGAAAGCAATGAATAGCCGCATGATCTCGTGCATCAGAAATACCACTACAAATTGTTTAGAAATCGGGTGTCAAGTGACATGATTGATTCCACAACACAATGGCTTCATCATCGCAAGACGGCTGCTGACAAGTTCCGAGGGAGGTGTAGCATGAACACGATATACAAAAAATACAAGATCATCAACCTACCGTGACCATTACGCTGGCATATTTTCCGGCATTCGAATTGGAGAATAGCAAGCAGACAAAGATAATCGAGAATAGAACAGACAACTGAGACAAGGGGTAGGTTAGGTGTATAGTAACCTCCTTACTCCTTGGGTAGATAGGGAAGGGAAACAAACAGACAGGCCTCCTCCTCCGGTCATGTTAGGGAATCTCCTCACGGACGGTGAAGAGGATATATTTGATTCATTGATATATTCATCCAACCATTATCAAGTTGTGTATCGATCATTATTGGAAGAAGATGTGATATGGTATGGCTGCCGTTTATGGACAGTTAGTAGTAGTAGTTGACTTGGTTGGTTTGAAAGGGGAAAGGGGGGTTCATCTACTGTAGTGGTTTCATCAGCGGCATTTATATGCTGGGTTCATTTGGTTATTCGAGAAAATTCTGCAGGCAGCAAAGAATAGATTAGTTAAGTGGCTAGCTAGGGAAACTAAAAGTAGTGGGCATGTGTTAAGCTATTAACTAAGAGGTTACTAAGTTGATTGTTTAGGTAGTTTCGTTTAGTTAAGAGTTTAGTAAGGGATCGATCGGTAGTAGGGGTAGAGTTAAGTCTAGTTTATACTGTGAAAGGTAAGTGCCAGTCTTCATATTATTTCTTCGTAGAGCATGCAGTAGTAACAGCATGGGTATATACAGTGATCAAGATGGATAAGGGTTTAGAGTAGTAGTACTAGTAGTAGTACTTTTTGGCACTTGCTTTTGTTTTGTTTAGTAGTCAATTTGGTATTCTAACGGCCCTGCTGCTACTGATAATGCTGGTAATGGCTATGGCGTTACGTATATATATGTTGTATGTAATGTTACCTACCGGCTACAGAATAGCTGGCAGCATGGAAATAGTATAGAATGAACAACACACTCATTACTTAGTACCTATTCTCAGAGCACACATACATAGTACCCAAAAGTACTTACATGCAGTGTCGACATGTAAATAACTTACAAAGTACTAAACGAGTAAATGGAAGTAACTTCTTACTTACCATGAAATGGTGGTGATATCCAGACCCACATCCCATGTCGCCGATAGATGACGTCGACGAATATATCTCTCTTCGATCGTTGGATGATCTTTGACTCTCTTTTACATCACCTTCACCTTCACCTTACTTGATCTTCACCATGATATTCTTTTCAATTGAACCATCGATAATCTTCCTTCATGTTAGACTGTCATGCCATTATTGTGGTGGGAAGTTGTGGGTTGTGGGTTGTGGTGAGGTGGTTACATCAGTGATCAACGGTGGGTTGCTGCAGGCAGTGTGTTAGAACAGGACAGGACAGGACAGAGAGGATTTGTATCCTTACATCCGGTATCTGTCTGTCTTTTAGTCTTAGGACTTTTCCATCATAGGTACATACGTACTTGTGTAAATAGTAACTGAGGGATAAAATAGTACTCTGTCTAGTGTCTACATTATCATCAACTCTATATATTGTAGTCTTATATATCCTAGAGCCCATTACATATTGATCAAGCAATTCAAGACAGCCCGTAATACAATTGCATAACCCAAACCTTAACATCAACGTTGATCATCCCCAATTCCTCCGACACACACGGAGCGATGGAAGAGTGTCTGTTGGTCCACGGATCCAGAAATTCCCTACCATTGGATTGTCCCCGGGTAGGCTAGACACTAGATAGATAGATACCTCAGATAGTGGTAAAAGGTGAAAGTAGAATGATGGTAATCACGATAACCAGCCAAAGCATGACCGTGACACAGGGAATTCCCCTTGCCATGGATGAAATCGATCGATGGGATACTACTAGTACAGTCCCGGGCGGAGAAATGAAAAAGAAAAGAAGCAAAAAAAGGGAAAAAGGTCCAAGTCATGATACACGGTGACGCAAGGCGGGTTTATCACTTGTCTCAGGATTTCGGGGTCTTACTTGATTCGTTTCACTTGTGTAAGTATGTCTGTTCTGTTTATCAGACTTAACTGGTTAAGTTAAGTTGGGGTCTGTGTTGGGTGGCTTGTCTGTCTGTTTGTCAGGTTGGGTAGGTTGGCACATGACTAGTTACTTACTATCGCTATACCTATTTTCATCCCTACTGTATACGTATATCTGTCTTAGTTTTCTCGTATATGCTATAGCTGGGTAGAATAGGTAGTAGAATTCCATCCGTCTCCATAGCACCCATCAAGGTATAAGGTATCCCAGCCGGTTTGACTGGAATGGTATGGATAGACAGACAGACAGACAGGACGACGCCAGTGGCAAATGGGGAGCCAGCCAGTCAGCCAGCCAGCCAACCGGGCCACCCCCCCTCTCTCTCTCCCTCGATTCCCAGGCATCCATCTACTTACTATCTTCTTCCTGCCCTCCCGAGTTCCCCGGGAAAAATAAAAAGTGATGATGTACCTTACCTGGTGGAACAATACCTTTCAAAATAGCCACACAACCAATGATGATGAGTGCATGGGTATGGCGCGCTGGCTGCTTTGCCCCGGTACCTACAGGTGTCGAGCTGTGGATGGCAAACAGCTTGCTTTCCTGGAGCTTCCGAGCTGGTGTGAGTGTGTGTGTGTGTCCGACACAAACCGGGGATACATGATTGATTGATGAAGTGCAGATGCAGATGCAGATGCAGCGGCAGTTGCACTGATGTGTGTAATTGTGTAGCTACGTAAGTATCTCTGAGAGTAATGAGCCTGAGGCATGAGTAGTGTGTATCTAAGTACAGTAAGACGAATACAGCGTGATGACAACACACACGTGATCTACAAGACGGGACCGGGATTTCTCGCTTGCAGACCCGAAACGGGCAAGCCGGGTGGAGCCGTGCAGGGACGACTAGGATGAACGCAATCGAGGTTGAGGAGTGGAATATCCCCCCCTCCCTTCCTCCGTCTTCTTGTAGGGGCTGTGTTTGGAAGAATTGGAGAGGTAATTAGAGGAATGGATAACTTTATATATCATTTTCAGAAAGTGTCTGACTCGAGGTAAAAAGAGAGTGTGTGTGAGTGAAAGTTTCTGGGTCAGAATTGAGTTTACTTTTTCCCCATGGTGATGACGAGAAATGGACGACAGGTCCAGTAGTCAAATAGTCAAGAGAGTTTCCGAGTGGAATTCCAAGGCCAGTCAGTCAGGTCACCTCAGATACTAGAACTAGTGCTACCAAAAGTATGTTGGCGGGTGGATGATGAAAGGAGTCATTCTTTTCTGGAATTGTTGATTGGAGGGGGGAGGAGGGACGGACCCTAAGGAGGTCGAGATTCAGGCGATAAACCCGGCCTACTACTAACTAACTAACCTAACTACTTTGTGGTAAACTAACTGAATCGCGTAAGCTGGGAAAATCATAAGAATAGTTAGTGAGCAAGTGATCAGAGCGAGGGGAGAGGGAGAGTTGTGGCACTGGCAGCAGCAGCAGGAATGGCCACACCAGGTTTCGAGTGGTACTTTGGCCCAGACGATGCAAACATTGGGCCTAGACACTGGGCTGAGTACCCGCCCTTCCCGCCTGAGGATTCGAAGGGGAGTGACCATCATCATGGGAATTGAACGATGAAAAGAAGATGGGACTAAATAATGAGAGGAATAGATAGAAATTCGATGTCTTTATTATTTATTAAAATAGTGCTCGGCTCGATCTAAATAGGTAAAGAAAATGAACAGAATTCATGTGTAACTTGATTTTCCCCCCAACGGTATGTCAGTATAAGCTGGTAACTTAACTAGTTGTAGCTCCTCGAGGTCGAGTCCCTTTGAAATTGGTGCCTGGGGAAAAATAGAGAGAGAAAGAAAAGAAGGTGTGCAGAAAAGGGAAATTCCCACTTTTGACTCTTGACTCTTGACTACTGACTTGTTGCTCTTCTGCTGCTCTCTCTCTCTCTCCGCCCCTCCAAAAGTCAGTCATCATCCATCCACACCAAAGCAGCTGAAAAGAGGCGCTGACTGGCTCTGTTGCTTGCCTGAATTCGGCCAGAGGAATTCCATCCATTCCCTTTCCATCATCTCTTTCTTGCTCTTCCCTTCCTTTTCCCTCTCTCTTCTCTTCTCCTCCTCCTCCCCTCCCCAAATCCAGTCTAAAGCTTTTTGCTGCTGGTGCTGCCAACAGACCCAACGCCGTTTTGTTGATCCATCATCCCATTCTCGTTTTCCCCTTCCACTTCCTCTTCCTCTTCCCTTTTTTTTACCTTGGATTTATTTCCTTCTTCCCTTATTTTTTCTTTTTTCCTTTTTCCTTCCTTAGTCCTGCCTTTTTTTCTTTCCCACTTCCGCGCCCTCCCCCTCCCTCTTCATTTCCTTCCAATCTGCTGCTTTCTTTCTTTCTTCATCTGTGCACCTCCCCCTCCCTTCTTGCTTGATACCCGTTTTGGTTGTTAGAACCTGAATTGTGATTCATCCTTTTCCCTCCCATTCCGATTCCTCCACCCCCCGTCGGTGGCCAGTCACCCTCCACCAACGGCCACTTTCTCCTCTCCATCTGCGCGCCCACTTCCTGTCGGGAACGGCGACTGCAGCCCTCGACTGTCACCTTTTGTCTCTCCAATCCCGTCCGTCTACTCTCATCCTCCGCTTCTTCCTCCCCCTCCTCGCCCATCCGTTCGCCATTCCCTCCCCTCCGGTCCTCCACACCCTTCTCTCCCCTCGACTTGTTCAAGGGGCTAGAGACTCGACCTCCCCTTGTCATGCACAAGATTTCCAATTTCACGGGCCAAGCCCGTCATGGCTGGGAGCGTATGACGCCCACTTTTGGCATGTCTCGACCGCATACCGACATGACTTCTCACTCCCTCCGTCGACCGCATGGCGCGCCGCCCATGACTCCTCCGACTGGAATCGACCCGACCGTCAATCTCTCGTTTAACGTGCCCTTCTCCTCCACTCTTGCTGGTCCCGACGTCGACGATGTCCTGCATGCGAGCCCTGGCGCCCTTCAACGCTGGACCTTCCCCGAGGGCACTCCCGAAGGCACCCCCGTCCACCAGCTTCCCGTTCACGCGAGCAATGTCGACGCCCTGCGGAGATTGTGTCGACAAATCACCGAAAGCAGTAACGGGAGGGTCGAGGCGGCTGTGACCTCGTCGGAGCCCAAGACTGTCCCTTCGCTACAACGGCGCCCTCAGGGTTTGGCGACCAACGTCTGCATCACGGGTGATGGAGAGACGGTGCGGAAGATGCGAGCTAGGGTGTTGAACGAGACCCCCATTTTGTTGGTATGTTGATAATTCGACAGTTCATACTCTGGTGTCTGGGATCCGGTTTATCCGCTAACGGGTCATGTTATAGCGATGTGCGACCGTGGACGTGGACATGCACCTGATCCTGGATGGAACCACTAAAAATATCCGAGCGAGCGTCTTGGAGCATTTGGATACGCTGGCGGCCTATACGGGCACGGACATTTTCCTCCTGAGCCCCAAAATCCGCGATACGGATAGTGCGGTGGTGTCTTCTTATGGCTACGCCTCGGACAATGGGCTGGATCAACGCTTCCGGGTGTCCATCTACGGCGATATGGAGAGCGCTGAGCATGCCAAGACCAGGGTCTTGATTATGATCGATCAGATTGTGGGTTCTTTCTTCCGACCGATCAACGTCCGGCGAACTAACTGTTACTAGCTCAAACGTCACGTGGACGCCGTGAAGCTGGAGCTGACCATGCACACCTTGGTCTGCGGCCGTACTCGCAAGAACATCAAGCTGATCGAGGCTGCCACGGGCACAGCCATTTACTTCCCGCCGCCATTCCCTCGCATTTTCGGCTACACGCCGCCGGGTGCTCATCGTCGCAGCGAGAACGAGGTCTACATCACCGGTGATACGCAGGAGCAGATTGCACGTGCAAAGCAAAAGCTTCAGGAACTTGTGATGGGCGTGAAGATCTACGTCAAGGATGTCATTGTCAACTCGAACAAGATCGACAACATTCTGCTCGACCGTCTGGACAAGGTCCGCAAGGTGATGGAGATGAACGGCTCCTACGTCCTCTTTCCTCAGCTCGGTACGCAGCGGGGTCTGGTTCGTATTCAGGGCACCGAAGTGTTGCACGTCGAGCGCACCGTGCGGGAGATCATGGCTTTGGTATGTTACACTGCACTTCATTCCAGACGGCTTCGTGTCTGACTAACGTTTGCAGGCTGGTCAATTCTACAGCGCGTCGTGGTGGATCATCATGCCCGACCCGTCGCAAGGGGGTTTCCGGGCGCCGTCTCCCGCAGACGTCCGCACCATGCTCTCTGACATCTGCAGCAACTCGGGCGCTGAAGTTAGCTTTGACAACCTGACGTTTACCATCAATGGCTCGGATGACGCGGTCAAGGCGGCGATGATGGTGATCAACCAGATCCCGTTTGTGCAGCGCAGCCAGTACCAGATGCGCGTGAAGATTGAACTCGCCAACGAGCACAAGGAATTCGTGAGCGGCAAGAAGAATGGCAAGATCAACAAGATCATGGGCCAGAGTGAGTTGACCGTAATCGCCACATGAGTCACGTACTAACGTATACAGGCAATGTGCAAATCATCTTCGATGGTTTCAACGAGTACAACTTCTACATCGACGTGTGTGGAAACCAGTACGAGTCTACCAAGAATGGCTTGGATCTTGTTGAACAGGAAATGCCGGCGTCGATTTCGTTCCACGTGCCAGACCAGTACCACAAGCGCATCATCGGCATTGGAGGCCAGCACATCCAGCGCATCATGAAGAAATACTCGGTGTTTGTCAAATTCTCCAACGCCATGGACCGTGGCGGCATGGGCAAAGAGGAGGACGACATCAAGGTTGACAATGTCATTTGCCGGACCCCTGCGCGTAACGCTCAGAGTCTGGACCTGGTGAAGCAGGAGATCATGGACATGGTCGAGAAAGTCGTAAGTTCGCCATTCCCGGATTGAGTTTCGTTGCTAATTGAATAGGATGCCGAGTATGTCTCCGAACGTGTCGTCATCAACCGGTTGTACCACCGTGAACTACTTGCGCGCATGTCCGAAATCGATGAGCTCGAGAAGAAGTGGAACTGCAAGATCGAGTTCCCTAGTACCGAACTTGCCAGTGACGTCGTGACTATTTCCGGGCCCGAGTACCAGGTCCCACAGGCCGTTGACGCCTTACTGGTAAGTAAACTGCTCATCACGGATATCATCAGTTCTAACCTTCGCAGGGAATGGTTCCGGAGAGCCACGAGCTACTCTTCCAGAGCTCTGCCGAGTTGCGCGAGTATTTCAAGTCGACCGAGTTCCACGACGACGTGTGTGCCAAGCTCAAGGACCAATACGAGGTCGATACCACCGTCGATACTAGTTCGGACCCTCCGGCCTCGGCTTCGGAGAGTGGCTCTTCTTCTCCCGTCTTCGGACCGGAAGACCGGGTTGTGCTCGGATATACTCGCAACAATGCCGGCGGACTCAAGGATGCCATTGACTTTCTGATCTCTCGATTGGTCGCTCACGGCCTCGACGCGACTACGGTCAAGGGAGCTATTCCTCGCCCCAAGTCGGACTCTTTCGAGGAGTCTCTCCCCTTCTTCGACTCCAAGTTGCTGCAGCATGCGCCCGCTCCTATTGTCACCGACTCCCCCACTCGTCCCAGTTTCTCGGATGAGACCAGCGAGCGTGGGTCCATCTTTGAGAGACTGCGGAAGCCCGGCAGCATCTCTTCCTTTTCTTCGTTCATTGGCCGCAAGAATCACTCGGCCTCTCCCGGATCCTTCTTCAAGCATGCGTCCAGTAACGCCTCGAAGGCGTCACTGGTCTCCATGGAGTCTCGAGACAGTGGCTACCGCAACCCATGGAATGATTCTGGCGTGAACCTTGCCGAGGACGACGTGCCTGTCCTCGGAAGTTCTCACAGCCACAGCAGCAGCAATGGCTGGCCCGCGCGCTTTGACACCAAATTTCCATTCGGTACCGCGCCAGGGGACATGACCCCCAAGCATGACCCGCGCGCTTCTTTTGACAGTGGTCGTCCTAGTACTTCCAATTCTACTTCTGGATACCCGGCCCCAATCGGGCCACCGCGTTAAAATCAATGTCAATTTGCAGCAGTATACCCCAAGAGACTTCTGTTTTTTTCATCATTTAGTTTCTGTTTTTCGTTTTGATTTGTTGTCAGCGATTCGTGTTTCGGATTTATTTTGATACCACAGAGTGCAAGTCAAATAAGACGTCAGGAAGTGAAAGAAAAGATGCAAAAAAAGCAATAGAGGGAAGAAGAATACGAGAAAGGCATTAGCATTGTGATCCTTTCCTTCCCTGCCATATTCTCCCCTCTACCCCTGGTTTTCATTCTTGCGAGATGTTCGTTGTGATCTTTTTGTGCTTGGTCGTTTTCAGCCGGGGTGTGTAGGTGCCAAATGAGTGTGCCCTTGGGAAGGTTTTATATGAGATACCAAACCGTGGAAGATGGGAAATTTTGCGTTCATACATTCCAGATATGATACCAAGTGAAACGATGGTGTACGAAGGTGTTTTTCTTGCTACAGATGTCGGTTTTGAAGTGATCATTGCAATCGCATATTTGCCTTTTGCCTGGGATGGATACTTCCCAACCAACCCATTTAGGTTCTGCCCTGTTTCGTTTTGGTCCTGCTTTTTGCGCCTTTATTATATACCTCTATGCGTACGATATCCAAGATCTATAGCGCGTAGTCATGAATGGGGTTGATGTCTCGTTGCAACGTGCTGCTTATGGTAACGTAGATTAATAGAATACTCTCGACATGGAATTTGCGTGCATCGGCATTTGATAACGATAGAGTGGTGCAGATACCAGCCGAGTCTTACGGAACTCCAACCACGTCTTTCCAGAGCAACAAGGAGCTCTATCACCACTTCATTGAATACTTCAACTTCAATACCATCATATACCTATAGTATCATCTCCTTCACTCGAATACTACTACATTCAACCAAATCCTCTTCACCATTCTCATTCCATCGTATTCGCTATAGCCACCCACTCACTTGCCATCATTACCTGAGATAACCATCTCCCTCTACTATAAAACCCCCCTTCCTGCCAGCAAGCCAGCCCCCATCTTCTCTATTCCTCTCCCAATCAGTATTTTTATATCTATCTATCTAACTCCCATAAGAATAATGACTCCGGCGAACATAGTGGAAATATCAGTGATTAGTACATCAGTACACAATCTACATTTCAAGATCTGAACCTGCCATCCAAAGCAAAGATAATATCTCTACTACCTATATTACTAAAGATACTACTAATCAAGCATATATTGAACTTGCTCACCGTGCAATACAGACTCACATGGAAGAAGCGAGAATGAACCCCTATCAGATGTCTGTCTGAACATACGACAGCAAGCAACGGAAACTTAGTATTTCTCAGGACAACGATGTCAAAAGAGCACGAAACTGTATCGTCTGTGGAAATGGCCTCCGCACGGCTAGGATTGCATTTGAAGTCATACGGAGGCTACCATGCAATGGAAAAAGGTGGAAAGGGGCGCCTAGAATCCAACCTGTCCGGTCTGTGCAATTCTTTCCGGATTTCGTAAAGGGAGATATATCGAATGGATTCTACGGGATTTTAGCAAATACTACCGAAGAAATTATCGAAAGCGATCTATATCACGGAGGTATTGTCGGGCGCCTTCCTGGTAAGCGGGAAGCACCTGCCGTTCCAAGCAGGGCGGCGGTGGCAAGAGGAATAGGGGTTCCCGCTGGTCCCCTCCTCCACGATCCTTAGTTGAATCAGTTTAATGCAATCGTTGAATGCAATCAGATTATCGATTTGTTTCGTTCGAATAGTTACACAGTATGCGGCTGTTTAGTATATCTAATTATACTATCTTAAGATGGTTCGAAGATTTGGTTTCTGGTCACATTATCAGAATGGCTAGAGCCAGGTCTAGATGAGAATGCCCTGGAAATCATCTTTCGAGTATATATCCACTTCCATAAACTTGGATATATGAAAATCTGCAAGAGGAAGAAAGGAAAGAAGGGCCGTACGCCCGTTTTAAGGATGTGTCCCGACAAAATTACTATACCCTAAACGAAATCTGCGGACGCCTCAGCCGGTTCTGAGGACGAAATATTAAAGCTCTGCAGCCAGCAATTTAATTCCTGGCCAAGCATGTCTTGAATCAAGCTCTCCCCAGACCTACATAGCTTGCTAGGCTGAGTATGTGTCTAAAGGATTGGTCAATTTACGAAGTGGCTCTTCCACTGGAGAACACCAGCCGTTAGCACCACTCGATTAAAGTGGAAGGCAAAAGGTGTCGGAATGAATCAACATATGATGTCTACGATATATGGCTCGTCTGAAATCTTTCCGTAGATTCATAATGGGTCAATCTCATAATGGAAAATGATTTTTGGGATATTATACCAACATGACTGACTACCCCGTCAAAAATGCAATAACTGCACATGTTTTACCATAGCAAGTCCAATGTAACCACTTTAGTGCCAGCTCTGCGTCAACTACTGCAACTTAGCAGTGGATAGATGTTGAAAGCCGGGAGGTAGCCATCGCTAATGCGATCGTCGGGTTCTAAGTCTCCAGATGACAGCATGGATATAGGTGGCTAGAGAGGGGGAGCTTTACAGAGGAATCAAGTGGGAGTACACTCCGATAGAAACAAGTGAAGAACTGGAGTATATGGTCGGGGCAGGAAAGGATTATTCACGATGGGTGATCGGCTGTTACTGTTCGCTACTCCTGCTGTCCGGTCCCACAGGTTATAATCAAACACAACAAGAGATCCTGATAACCAGCTAACATACTGGAGGAGTCGGAATGGACCTCTATAGACTACAATCCTGAGTCAGGAGGCATACGTCTGTACAATCCACTACGCCGTCAAACCATGAAGTCCGGGGAATGCCTCGTAATCACAGTTCCGGATCCGGTGCGACTTCCTCTTCCTGACACCAGAATTCAAGAGATACAATGGCTTCTCCAGCGGGTTGCCGCACTTAGCGGAGCCGCAGAGTCTGAGTTGGACAGTGACAACAATGACGATAAAGTATAGATGACTTCGGTCTGCAGCTCATGTCAGCACTGCAATCCTCCAGCATGGTCCATCCATTCAAATCTTCCCCTCCATCGTCGTTGAGGGATCAGGGTCCACTGTGAAGCATGGCTCACTAGTCCCAGGTGCTAGAGACTCATGATGGAGTGGACTCGCAGGTTTAGGGAATCAGGCGAGACAGGGCGAGACCAAACGTCTTGATCTTTTCAGAGAGGAGAACTTGCGCCGAGGACGTGACCAAGCTCTATATTTCCCCCAAGACATGTTACCGAGACTGGCTAGAAGAAAGATCAGAATCTTCTGTTGTCTCGGTGATCCGCGCGTTATTAGTCTAGTAGTACGAGACTAAATGTATATGGCATTATTCTGTTTCAATATATCTATTGAAAGGAGTTAAGCAGATCGAACCCAAACAAGCATGATTATTGGTTTGGTTGCTTTGTAAAAGCTAGTGGTGGTTACGCTCTGCTTAATGTGCGTTTGCAAATTTTAATGATACTACTCTCTGAGGAAGTGGTCGAGGCATGTTCGTCTTCTGAGTCACCACCAGGAATGACAGAGACGGAATATTTTACGGCACGATATCTAACAACGCAAGATCTACAAGAACACTCCCCTACTTAGTGGCGGTATCTCGTCCTCTTACAGTCTCGGGTGGCTTTTCACCCTATCAACAAGGCTCATATAAGCCCAAACGTCTTTATGGGAGTCAAACAATCGCTGCCGCTTAGTTTAATCAACATCGCACATCTGAAAGCTTGGATGGTAACGACAAGATCCGGAATAGTGTGTCGTTTTAGTCTATGCACAGAGCTACTCAATATGCAGACGAAGAGTACATACCCATAATGAAAGACGAGCTTATTATGGAAACAATTATTCCATGAAATTATGAGGGCCTTATCTTTGGTTCTTGCGGGCGAAGTGACAATATCCTTGAGAAATCATTGGGTTTGGAACCAACTAATAAATAGGATCCGACTCGACCGGACTGATCATGCTTAGCATATCTACATACTATCGGTACATGAATAACGCCTGCGTGATAGGCTCGTAGCAGCCAGTGGAAGTACAAGATTCGGTAATGGAAAGCCTTCGTTGTGTCTCTATCAGCAACTGGTAGTTGTCCTGTATGCACTACCTACGACATATACCAATGCCAAATCGAGTCTGTCGACTATGGACATCCGTTGTTATATGGATGCATCCTTTTCGGTACTGTGTCACTTTTTCCATCAGGACGAATTGACCTGTGATCCCGTACGTTTCACTCAGTCCTCAAAGCAATGGTTAGATGCATGGTGTAGGATGTAAGGTGGGCTATGTTGTAAGGAGCTGAGTATCTTGATGGATGGTACTGTTGGTCTGTTTAACAGGTAGCAAAGCACGTCCTTTATTGTAAAAGATTAATAGATGGTAATTGTTAGTTGGTGGTGTACAGTCAGTACTTCATCGGATTCGGATGTAATTAGCCCTAAAATCATGACTCATTGTAGGAGTCATTTCCAGTAGCAGACAAACTACCTACTACTTCTACGCCGAATTATCAGCTACATCAGTTCTCATTATATTTCAACCCGGTGATATTAGAGCACTATAGTCACTTATGCACTATTACTACTTTGTCTCACATATTCCTTCAGTTAACTTATAGAGTAAATCCTAGTAATCTTTGCTTATATCCATTACTCTTCTCTAATTGATACCAGTGAGTTCCGTCATCTCTCCTCAAATAATGGCACGTGTAAAGTGCAGCCTTTATGTTGACTTGTGGGCCAATAATGGTCCCATGGCTATCCGGTCGAGCTCGCGGGTGGCCTTCGCGATGGCGAGGGTCTCCCACCATTCAACATTCTGGGGGTAGAACTGCTAAGGCTGATTCCCGCATCTACCCATTCCGAGTCCTCGCGTATCTCTGGAGCACGACTATTGCGCGGATATGTCTGCCGCCATTTCGACGGGTTCAAAGGCAAGCCTGGCTTTACCCCAAAGATCATGTACGATATTTGACAGACATAGGAGATTTTGGGGCATCTCTTCACCTCTTGCGTACGCTTGTCCCCAGAGTACGCACACACACACGTCCAACATGTTGCCTAGCTTCTGCAGTTCCGAAGACCAATATTTGACAAGGCGGGGAGGAACCAATCAAGGTTGGTTAGTGCTGACTTTCTCGCCGGCTTGCTATAGTCTTGTCCAGGCCTACAGCGTCTGCTAGGATGGCGCCTTCTGACATCTTCTCGGTCCAGATCTACTAAAGTCTCCAGACGACGGTTCCTTGCCTTGATTTTAGTGAACAACTCCGGACCATCTCCGAAATGTGGGGATAGTCCAGGTCGGTAATGCCAATTGCTGCCAGCTCCTCGTTTGTACGATTAACCTGAAATTCTCGTTATCCAACCATTATTGTTGGCCCCGCAGGCAAGTGACAACCTCAGAGTTCAGATTCAGCAGGGTCTCGATGAAAGATCCTATTTTCCCTCGATTGTTGGTCAACTCTGATAAAGACCCAGTCGATACTATCGGTTGCGATACCATAAACTGGCATGTCTGGCCTCTTTGCACAGCGTCCCATTATGCTTGATTGACAAGTCCCATTACGTATCAACAAGACTATAACTCAAGTAAGTAGTATTATACATTTGCGCGCGCTGATACTTCCTATGCCAAGGCCGGTTGCCAGTCCATTTTTCCTGGGGGCTACCGGAGGTGGCACCGGGCCTAGAGGAACCCCAACGGACAAGAAACTCATTGTCGTCCATGAGCCCGGACACGATCCAATTGAACCAGCGATCAATGTAATCAACATATCCCTGGTCGATGGGGGCAGGCGCGGCACGAGCTCTGGCAGAAGCATACTCTGCCCGAAGGCAATCACGGAGATCGTCCAAATCCACCGGCGACATCTTCTTCGGGTTGCGACTGGTCGGATTGGTAGGGAGGCCAAATTGTCTAAGGACCTCATGGACCCCGGCAAGCGACACGACGACGGGAGTTGGCACAGGGGCCGAAACAGGAGCGGGAGCAGGACTGGCAGACCTATAACCAGGAAGGACTATTTTAGCGATGAGACACTGCAAGAGTGATGGCTGAACTTACTTGTCACTGTCCTCAAGTGCCTGCCTTGGCTTCCATAATGATAGTATTAGTCTCTGCTAAATTAACATTTTTATGCCAAAAAAAGTAATCGGTGTGGCCATGTAGGAAGCAGTCAATCTTGTCATAGACCTATTGATACTTCTCATGTTATAAACCTGCCAGTCCTCATAACCCTCACGATGAGGAAGAAGATCTGTGGCTATCCTGAAGAAAATATAGCCGCTTTTTGACGGCTAGAATTGTAAGAAAGACGGCATCCAGCCGAGTCCTAATTAGGGCTTCATTCTAGTCAGAATCGTCCTGAGCAAGTCAAAAGTCAACTAGAATTTGTCCTTGTTATTGATTACTCCGTTAGTCATAGCCAGTAATAGTAAATAGCAAGCTGCGACTCACTCAGGTAGTCTAGGGACGCCTCTCTTTATTGACTGCACGCTATCTGTCATTCGCTCGGAAATGAAGGGTTTTCCACCACCTGATATGGAATCAGTGCCTGTCTCTTTACTTTAGTCTAGAGTTTGGTTGTGCCCTGGTCTGTCTTCCGCTTGAGCTTCGACAAGTATTGTATTTTCTCAGTTACATACTGGCTCTTCTCTGTGCCAGAATGCGTAACCTGTCTTCTCGTCCTGCATGCCATGGGCTTTGTCAGTTTTGCATGGGCATCTTAGCCATTTTTCAAATTGCAGGTGCACTGTTTAAACGGACCCATTCTAATATCGACAGTCTGTGGGTCAGAATATTGTCCATATTGACACTTCCTGGCTGTTAGTCTTTCGATTAGGTTTTCCCACCACCAAGATTCTTTCTGTTGACTCCCCATTGTGTCTAAGTCAGCTGCTTTCAAGACCCTATATTCGATCAAGACCGCAACTGTGCTTATGAAACCATATTTCTCCTTAACACCCCACCGACTAAGGCCATGGCGATGTGGCATGAAGGTACTATGAATCTCGAGGGCCGCCATGACTCCAATGTCTGGCATGTATTCTAGGAGCCGTCCTGTTGGATTCGTCCACTCGCTATTTGCCTATCGCAGCTCATCTCATGAGCAGGCTCTTACTCCTTGCAGCATCCTGTAATGGTGGTAGGATATGTGAGATTATGACCCGGTGTATTTGAGGGGTTAGTGCATGAACAACCACTGTCTCCGTCCCTAAGGAGTCTCCCTGTGTTTTCATAACAAGTATCCCGATCATTGCGTGGTGGGTGTACCTTTCCACCTTCATCGAGATAACGCGAATCTTCTTCATAAAGGGAGGCATCCGCCTTGAAATGGCCTCCATGGGCTCTTACATTTCCAATACGGATGAGTCGTTGAGTTTCAACCGCCGTATCATTCCGGTTTCAATCATTGTTACATCGGCAGTTGGTCGAAACGTAGCAGCCATATACTTTCAATGATGTTTGTTGAACCCCCTCTCAGCTTCGGCAGACTTTTGGGATAGTTCTTAATCCCCCGTTTGGATTGACACAGGCCACCGACCACATGCGGAAGGCTTCCTGGTCCGTCTCTTCCATAAATCGAACGTCTTCGGTGCGTATTTCCAGACTTAGGGTTTGTACTCCATCTTCGGATGTAACACACGGGCTGGCCCCGGATAGTCGATGTACTGAAACTTGCTGGAACTGGTAGTATCCTTTTCATACATTAGTATGTGATTCGAGCAGCACACCTCATTAGCGTTGCATCCAGACGAGTTTTGATCCAAGCTTCATTTTGTCTAAATATCACGCCTTCCGGCTAATCAACATAGAATTTATTCGATAAGCGTGTAACCCTACGTCCATCCATTCTGTATCTGTGTGACTAGTGAACCCCGTCTTCGATGGGAGGACGTAGCGTATCAAGATTTCGCCTATACGACGAGCATTGCAGGTATCAGCAGATAACGCAATTTCTTGGTAGCCATTCGAGCAAAGCTGCGTTCTTGTAAATGTCCACTTCGAATCAACGAATCTGTTAGAGCTCTCATCGCGAGTAATTCATCCTCTGCTAAGGTATAGCTGTAGGAGTGTAGCGGGCCGTAGGGCACTCCATGCTGAATCTCATACAGAGCAACTTGTGGCGTTGGTTCTCAACGAAGACATCAATCTGATAAGTGAGAGCGTTGCCTCTGTAACTGAGAGGTTTTGTGGGTCGACCACTTCTAGGCCCTTTTCCCATTGTCGGACTTTTTCTTTCGAGATTGCTTATAATTTACTCCCTTGCATCATTTATCCAAATGGCCCATTTTGGCACTGGTAGCTCTCATTCGAGATAGATGGTAGATGGAACTTGGTTAGAGCTATGCTTTTGATCTGTCTGAATGGTAGACTTCGCTTGTACTTTTCAGGGGAAAAGGAGCGCTGGTGCATTATGAGGGGCATATGTGCCAGATGTATTTCGATGGTAGGTTGGTTTGAGAGGTATTACTTTCTGGAAGTATCATCCTTGTAGTACTCGGATTCCGAGTACCACTAGGGGGCTTGGTGTGTCTGTCATGGTTTTAGCTGGTAGGGTTCATGTTAGCGATGTTATGATATGGTTTCATGGTACGATGTGTGGTTTATGGTAGTATTGGTAGATCACTATGTTATATGAGATAACCATCATATATAACAACAGAGAATATGATAAGAAAGCCAGAGCAAATGCTGATGGAGAAGGAGGAATAGAAAGGAAGGAAAGAAGTTGCAGTTCTCAGGGAGTGGTGGGGTTTATATAGCCCAAATCAGAGCTACATGAGTGAATCAGGGAAGTCAATAGGAAGTAATAGGTGAAGGGGTATATTGCTTGGGGAAGGGTGTAGATTGAAGGCGCAGGAGGGTATTCAATGGGTGTAGTGACATCTCGAGAGTTTTGGAGTGATTGCTGGAGCACTGCAGAACAAGATCCGGGTATGGCATCTGATAATCTCTTATCTTATTCCATCAGCTACTACGTGATTGATTGAAGAACTCTAATTTCCTTATGTCTGAAACCTATCGTATGCAGCCTGGCTACTGAAATAGTAACCATGACCCGACATCAGGTTATCACCATATTAATTTAGCACCCTTCCTAGTAGTACGTATTACCCATCCGCACAGATATATATAGTTACTTGGTAGCTTAGCTATGTTCTCTGAACCTAAAGCAGCCGCCTCAATGCGTGTACTGGCGGCTGTGTAGGTAATGCTCCCCTGCAGGCCACAGAGATATATAAAGATGACACTCCGCTCGTTTCCAATACCCCTGCTACCAGATGAATATCAGCATCGACTCCACGACCCCTACTCTCGTCTACCAATATGAATCTTCCTACCCTCCCCACTGTAATCCATTCAATCCTATCTCCGTGCAACGAAGATATCATCCGACGGACGTGCCCGGAGTTAAGGCCTATACCCGAATCGGGTGGGTCTTCGCCACAAACTCGGCTACTCGAGCATACACTTTACGGGATATCAAGTCATTGTAGACCCTTAATTGTCGATGTTGGGTGAGGCAAATTAGAGGATAGCTATCTTTGTAGTATGCAGAACTGTTCTGTAATAGAAAAAGATCTGACCCACCTGATCGGGTCCCGCGGCACCTGATCAGGTTGATCAGGGAAATCAGGAAAGTTGCGCGTGCATAGTCCTGGGTATATTGGGAAGTAACTTCCCGCAGAACTGTAGTCAAGTTGTAATCGGGCCCAACATTGGTTTAGGCAACTTACCCTGAGCCTGTGTATAATTCGCCATCCTTGCATTCAACATAACGCTTCGTCTACGAGTCCACCGGTATAGCCTGCAATGCAGTCGTTCACAATCGCCCTACCGAACAATGCCACGGTGGTGGGCATACACTCGATCCCAGATCCAGCCGCATCTCCTCGCCATCGTCCATTGATTGTCGCCTTGCACGGCGGGACTTACGACTGCCATTATTTTGATGCCACGCTAGACTATTCCGCCTCTAGAGCAAGTATTGCTTTCGGCATCCCGTTCATATCTATTGACCGACCCTGCGTTGGTGGAACTAGCTCCTTTCTACCCGTCCCGGAGGGATCGAACTTCAATCAAGAAACTGGGCGCTGGTTGCATAGCCATATCCTCCCTGCATTATGGTCTGAATTCGGCAACGGTTGCAACTGCATTGTCCTTCTGTGTCATAGCCTTGGTGTAATGGGAGGCATCGTCGCTGCGGCGATGCATGCACAGGATGAGAAGCCGCGATATCCGCTCGGAGGTTTGATCGTAAGCGGAATGGGTGACAAGGCGTCTCCATCGGCGAACAATTCTCCTCCACCCGTGTATGAGAAGGTCGGCTCGGATCATGTTGTGATGCCTGTGGATGTCAAGGATGAAATGATGTTTAAGCCAGGGACCTGTAGCCCAGAAGTTCTGGCGCACAGTGACCGCCTGAATACAGCAACTCCTGTTGTGGAGTTACAGCAGTATCCAATTATTTGGCTTCCCACATGGCGAGACAATTGGGCGAAGCATGTCACAGCACCCGTTATGTTCGCGCTCGTGGAAAACGATGTCTTCTTTGAGGCAAACGAGGAGGAAATCAGAAGCTGCACGGCAGCATTCGAGAACAGCATCCGGGTTGACGGCAGTCTGGTCAAAGGCGCACCTCACTGCATGGAATTGAGCTATTGGTCGCAGGGGTGGTACGCCCGTTGTTTCGGGTTTGCGATGGAATGCTCTGTTAGTTTTTCCTGCTGAGTTAAAACTTACACAGTAAGCCTAGACAATAATCAGAAGCAGATTGACAGCCATCTCGCACTGGATACTAAACACAGACATAAGCACCTGGAATCCCGTTTAGGCAGCTGTGCGGCCGGCCGGCAGGATTGCACTCTGCGTGAGCGTATTGCCCTGACTCTGGTTTCACAAATTCCGCAAAAGCCGCAGTAAGAGATAGGCAAATATGACACGAGTCGGATGATCGAAACGACCAGAGCTACTCATGCAAGGGACACTTCTACTCTGTTCTTGTTGGTGCTTGTCAATGCTTGTTAACGTAAGAGAAATCCTATCTCCATTCAGAAGCGGCTGCCTCGCTACCTTGCAATTAACAAGGCAATTGACCAGGCCAAGATAGACCTTCAGAGTCAGCTGGTTGACTCGGGCGTGGGATGTCAGTAAGCTGAGAGCCGAAAACAGCGTGTCCGTAGCTGATGCCCGATAGGGCTACCTTGCATTAGGCGAGGGGCTCGAGGCCAATGTAGGTTTCTTTGCAGTGCCCGGCGCCAGGCTTAGTGCAAGATAAGTGCGCAGTAGTTGATGCGGCATTGGCATATTTACCTGCATCGAGAGTCCCATTATGCACACGCGGTTCTCGGAAGAGCGTAAGAATACCCGTAGAATGAGCCAGAAGGCTAGCAAGGATCCAATCCATATGCAGGCTGACCAAATGAGTCTGATGTCAGGTATCGTTGCTAGGGATAGGCTAAGTGCCTTCAGCAACTGCTTCATGCTGCCTATCTACTTGATGCCTAAGTACTGAAATCCAGCGAGGGGTCAGTTCAGGATACCATGAGCTACTCGTTCAATCTTTCGAATTCCAAGCTAGATCCTCTAAGAGAAAGGCTAAGAGCTGCGTCACTTGACTGGCATCTGGAATACATTGACCGCTCTGACAAAAGGGGCGGTGTCTGACCACCATTCCGCGCCTCCTCGATAAGGGGTTTCGCAATGGGTAGATTGGGTCGACGAACCGGATGAGGCCTTGAATCAGATCTGGATGCCTCGGCGCACCATCGTGGCCAACCGTGGCTCCTAGCTTGCTTCGCCAACGCTTAATGATGAAGGATCACGGCAATCGGTCAACATGAGCGCCACCAACGGACCCTGCAGTAGCTAGAGGCAATCCAGACGAGCAGAGATTGCAGGATCAATAGAACCAGGGGCAGCCTTTCATTTGGATCAGCAAAACTATTTCTCAAGGCTCAGGATACGATGCAGTGATATCATGCCAAGACAAGAGCAATAGTAGGAGGACTGTTGAATATGGGATGCTGCTGCCATCGAGAAGACTCCAACCAGGCACGGGCTCGATGCTCGAATGTCATTGGCTCCCCTGAACACAAGTAGCAGCATCCCGAGTAGGAAAGTCCGGGGCCGAGTGACAGACACCTCATCGTTGCCTGGGAGCGACACACGAGCTGGCATCGGATATGTCCGCTGGAACACAGCAGATGAAAGGAGGTGATCGGACCAGCAGTCAGCCATAGCATTCCGTCAGTGTCCGGCAGCAAAAATGACCCACGTTTCTCGTGGTCGACATACAGCCACGTACCAGAGATCATTCCCGCAAGGGATAGATACGGCATATTCAGCGACCATGTGGAATACCATCCGACACGTCCGTCCACCACTGACACGCCTGGACCATATGGAGCCACTATTCGGCATACAGTGGAAGTTGACAGATTGGTGACGAGTATGCCCGGGTACCAGAGGAGGCGTTGATTAGAGTTTCAAAGAGATGTGGTAGGTTGGCAACACCGGGCCGGTCGTTATCGACAAGCAACAGCACGGTGTCCCGCAACGTGATCGCTAGACGCACTCCCACTGGCTGATGGTTGCGTCTAAGCGCCAAGATCCCCTCGGTTTTAAGCAACTAATCTTAGGAGATCGGCTAGTAGACTAGGATTCGATATGCATTCCCCATGTCTCTGCCGCACCAACATCCAGCAAGGGTACGTAGGTGGTATCTAGATCGGCCATGACAGACGACTGACCGTCCGTCACAATAATACATGGTGAGGCTGTGTCGACTGGAGCATCCCTTCCCCCTTAAGTGTCAGTTCGAAAACGGGTGGAACAAGTTCTGCGATACTATGCAATTTTGACTCGAGAGATTTGTCGGCATATAGATTATGCAAGTGAGAGGCTGACAAGTCACGAACTTAGTGGTGAGTATGGGGAGAAAGCGGCCGAATGGGACGTGCGTGGTAGTTAGTGGTCGTGTGAGGTTCACAACCGTCAATGATAGGAACCCCTCCTTCTCCATGTCAGCCAAAAAAAGTTTCCCCCACCGCATGATCATGAAGCAAAGCGGTTTCTCCGCAGGATTAGCCGTGTGTAGCGTAGAAATTGAATGAGTTGTTGGCTGTGACTGCAATGCTCACTTGGCCTCCTTCCCTTCTGGGTAGCCAGCCAGCGTGGAGAGAAAGACCAGCTTATGCCCGCTTATGCAGTCGCTGCCACCCCGTCAACCGAATGCGGACCATCTGTCCTCTGATTGGTGCGGGTGGGGATGAGGGTCTTTCATTCTAGAAGGCGGTATCAGACGATCCGGCGGGATTTGGGGGAATTCTGCCACCACGTGCGCTGTTGATTGGCCGGCGGCATAAGTTCGCGTCCGGAAGATCCCCGCCGACTTTCCATTAATCATCGCACTAAAACTAAAGTATCTCTTCTACTTTAGTTCCGCCGCCACTCGACCCGATGTGGGCTGCTTTAAAAAAGTGCTGTATCCATTGGAGATGCAGTCATGGACTAATGTCAATTAGGCAAGAAACCACGAGATCCATCTCCAACACTGCAAGTAAGGGGAGACAGAATGATGTTGTGCTCGGGCGTTCAGACCCTGAAGAAGAAGCTTACCTCTGCATTCTGTAGTGTTACCATCCCCAGAGTGTGTTGTGAGAATGAATAGAACCCTGGCACACACAGAGAAAAAAGGTAAAAAAAAAAAAAAAAAGAAAGCGAAAATAAAAATATGCTTTCGAGGCTCGTGGGAAGTTTCACCCGCTTCTAGGGTTGCTTGGCCCTGCACCAGAAGGTGGTTCTGGGCAAGATGGGGCAGAGTTGCCTGCCATTCACCACTGACACGGCAGCCTCGACTTCGGAGGCCCAGTGGAACCCGCCACACTAAGTAGTACGTTGGATCTTCTCCGCTACCCAGACCTGCTTTTGGCTTATCACGTTCCACCATTCGGACATGTGCCTGGAGCACGCTGGTGGGCTGGTTCTGGTCCACGCCTGCCCAGAGATTTTCCTTTTGCCGTCACCCTCCGAATATAAGTTTCGACGGCTGGCCGTTGTCCGACTTGGCCCGCATCGTGTGTGACGCCTTCATCACGTTCAATTCGAGCTTGCTCTCTCGTCCTCCTCCTCTCCTTTGTTAGGAGAATACCCTCAACGGACGTCTCAAGCTTTCTCGCGTCCACCCCTCTTTGTCGTCGATTTTCCGGACTGTCGGACCACTTTTCGACTGGTCCTTCGACGACGCCACCATGACGGACTTCGGCCTACGCGCTCCTCATGGGCCCGACATGTCGGGAACCCATAACCCTCTTGAGGATATGGATATTCACGAGAAGGGCGCTTTTGACGCCCTCATTCGCCCCGACGACAGCTATACTCCCGACGGCACGTATTGGGCCGACTTGCCGCTCCTGAAGCGGATCAAGTTCGTCGGTTCCTACGACGCCGCAGAAGCCAAGCGGGAACTCAGTTCGATCTGGCAGATGACAAAGGAAGATCCTCTCTCGCCCATCTCGTACTATTTCCGAAATATGGTTCTTCCAGGTGCTGGTCTGGGTCTCGAGGGGTACGTATTGGTCTAGTCACCGGCGGAAAACGCGTTGTGCTCACATTGTCCCTCTTTAGTTACGTTCTGTTCTCCATCGGAAACATCAAACCTTTGTTCGAGGCCTCTTTCAAGTCCTGCTGGGATGATCATACGATTTGCAACAAACAATGGATCAACGCGGTCGACTATCTCGAGATTGTCGGTATCATCTTCGGTCAGATCTTGGTCGGAATTGTCGGCGACTGGTAAGTTCTCGATCCCCGGAGAATGCATACGCGGCAATCATAGCTAATTGATATCAGGCTCGGTCGTCGCTGGGGTCTTATTCAGGACGCTGCAATCATGTTGCTGGGTTTGGTGATGCTTACCGCTGCTTGGGGTGTCACTGAGAACGGCTGGGTCATTTGCTACGCTTGGTCATTGTTCGTCTACGGTATTGGTGTCGGTGGTGAATATCCCATGACTGCCACTAGCGGTATGGAAAACGCTGTCGGCTCCGGAAAGGTCTCGACCAAGGAGGACCGTCTCCACCGTGGTCGCAAGGTCACCAGTGCTTTCTTGATGCAGGGTTGGGGTCAATTCTTCAACCAGGCCATCCTGATCATTCTGCTGCTCATCTTCCACCATGGTAGCGGTAACCCGCCTTACTCTTCGGTGGCTACTCAGTGGACCTACCGCATTTCTTTCGCCATTCCCGCTGTCGGCACCTTGTGGCTGGTGTACTACCGTGCCTACCACATGAAGGCTGCCAGCAAGCAGCTTGCTGCGGCTAAGAAGAAGGCTTCTGTTACTGGATACGATGTCAACTCCTTGAAACTGACTTTCCGTTATTTCGGTTTCCGCATTATCGCTACTGCCGGTGGCTGGTTCGCCAACGATGTCTTCTTCTACGGCAACAAGCTTTTCAGTTCCGAATTTATCAAGGTGCTTAGCCCTGGAAGCAACTCTATCATGCCAACATGGCTTTGGAGTTTGTGCAACATCGGTGTGTCATTGGCTGGTTACTACTGTGCTTCTTTCCTTGTCGACAACAAGCTCTACGGTCGTAAGTGGATGCAGATGATCGGTTTTCTCATGTGCTTCATCCTCTTCGTCGTCCCTGCTTTCCACTATGAGTACTACACCCGGCCTGAGAACATCCACGCTTTCCAGGCGATGTACTTCTTGAGTTCTTTCTTCAACCAGTTTGGACCCAACTCCGTCACTTTCCTCGTGGCTGCTGAGGTATTCCCGACTCCCATTCGTGCGACAGCCCACGGTCTCTCCGCCGCTTGCGGTAAGAGCGGTGCACTCCTGGCATCCGTCTTGTACAACTACATCGACACCCAAACCAAATTCTACGTTGTCCCTTGGTTCGGTCTTGGTGGCATGG